CTGACTCATTTAATCTCTTTACTCTCTCTAAAGGCAGACATTTTAAAATAAGACAAAAAAAAAATCAGTGCCTTTCGCAGGTTTTGACAAAAAAGCAGTTAAAGAGTCCAGCAGTTTTGCCCAAATAGGCCACATACCCTTACAGGCTCATCATTATCACAAAGTGTTTCACAGAGAAAAGGAAAAGAAAAAAAAAATCTAAACTTTGGAGGTTTTATTTAATTCCTAAAACTGTTTGTGAACACCAGGAAAGTTTTAAGAATTTCCATGAGATAAGGCAGAATGACCAATTTAAAACAGGTAAGTCATAGGCACAATGGGGCAGGGGATCATTCTTCTGTCTTTCTACCCAACCAGATTTCCTCCAGAGTGTGCGGGGCCCTTCCTGAGGTGCAGCTAGAATTAAGGCTACAATTTAAGGGATCTGCCCTGGCCCCCAAAGCCCCCCACCCCCCCAATGAAATTACCTTAAAAAGTGAAAGAGATGATTTTGAGTCAACTGAAAACAGTGGCTTTTCAGGTTTTATTCAGAGCAGGAATACTATATAAGTTAATGCCTATTCCTGCCTAGCTTACAAAATCAAAATGGTGAAAGCAAGAAGTATATCTGAAGGATATAAAAACAAGAACAGAAGTTGGGTTATGAAATGTTTCAATGGATACCCAAAATGGACTTTTACTTTTATTCTGAACCTCAACAAAATCAATACTCATAAATTCCCTTCCAGTGCCAGACTCACTGAGTTCCAAATAAACCAACTGCTTCTAAAACTTAGGAATTATCTAACATGTCCAAAGGAGAAATACAACCTGCCCAAATCTGCCTACAGAAGGTTGGAGGCCAAGAATGTTGCCTTTTATGGTTATACAAAGAAATGAAAAATCTTGGGACTCTGTCAGACACACACAGTTTCTCTCCTTCTCCCAAAAAATAAGCACTTATGTGTAAGAGGGTTTTAAGCAAAAGAGAAAACAAACAAAAAAGCAAAAAAAGCAAGTGTATTTTTTTTTGAAGGAAACTATGGATATCAAATGCAGAAATGCCTCATCTTCATTCAGTGCTTCTACCTCCCAATCAGTCATTTTATCGCAACAGCTGCGCTCATGCGAAAAAATCCTTAAAACATACCCAATATATATACAGATATAGCTATGTATATATGTATATATATATATAATATATATAAATTTTTATTTAAATAAAAAAGAAAGCTCGAATCCCAAGCCAATATGTGTATATCAAATCCTTGACCAGCCAGGTCTGTAGGGCATAATCAAATTCAATGTGAAATAGTATATAAACACGGTGCCTTGACTGGGCAAATTAAATAATTGCTACTCAAAAGAGTGTTCTGTTTGGACTCTCCTACTGGTAGGCAATGGCAGGACTGTATTTCCCTCCCCCCTCCCCCATTTGTTTCAGTTAACAGTATGATGGACACAGAGCTTACACTGAGGTTGTTATGACCTCAGCAGGAGTTAAGGGTTAAGAAAATAAGAAACAAGAAAAATACAAACTCTTGCTTTTACCCAACCAAAGCAATGCAGTAACTTATTACATAACCAGTGCTTTCTGTTTTAGTAGTATAATCCAGAAGGGAACTTTTTAAAAATCAGGCAAACAGAGGGATGGGGAGGGTGACTGTATCAAATAATCCCCACAAAACATGTTTTATAGGGTTTTAGTTCAGTATAGACACATGGCATCAGAATATGTGCAGCAGAACTAAATAATTCCATAAAGAATCTCATCACTATTGTAAAGTCAAGTCTCTGAAAACTGACTTTTAGGTACTTATTACCTACTGGTGCTAAGGATACTGAACAGCAACAGCTAGTCAATTCATAAACCATCCTTAAGATCCTGGCAGTCTGTCCTTGCCATATCTATTTGAAAGCCAGGGACTTTTATTTTATTTTACACTTTTGGGTTTTGACAGTAAAACAAAACAAAAACATCCACTGAAATAATGTGACTGTTCATTTTCAGTTCAAGTGTTGTGGTTTTAAAACATGCTTGATTTTCCTATTATTATTGTTTTTAACACTCTAGGATTTTAGCAGAAGTTTAAAATTTGAAAAAGCACAGGTCCGAATTTCTAACCAGCAGCTCCATACAGGTAATATACCAATCATGTATCTCCCAGGACTAATAAATTACAGTTCATTCTTAAAACAATCTCCATTTAAATCTAATCATTCTAAAACACTGGCCTGGCTTTCTGATTAAGAGAATGCAAGGATCCATTATGTGGAAAAGGACTTCAAAAATTAATTGGTAATTATCTCTCTGGAAAGTTGAAATAGAAACAAAACCCTCCTGAACAACAGAAAGTTTTAGTGCCATATGAAAAAACACACATCAAGCTAGTAACCAGAAAGGGAAAGAAAATTATGACTTTCAAGTAATGGCTCTTGGAAAAGTTGGTTTGCTGCACATTTTCTAATAAGTAGTCTACTACTGTCTCTTTGTTTCTCAAGCACCACAGAATTCTCAGACAGGCCGGTGCTTTCTGTGTGTTTTAATTTATGGGGTTGTCAAAGCTGGAAAGGATTGGGGGTCAGGAATTATACACTGGGTATGTAATAATACCAAAATACAAGAAAAACCTACTTCATTAAGATCATACAATTAATCAAACAGAGTGTATATATAATATCTTCTTTTTTTTT